ATGTTTCAGTTAAGTAAGATGAGTGTGAGATTTTCTGTACAGCACTGTACCTAAAGACAATAATCCTGTGCATAGCACACTTAAAATTTTGTTAAGAGAATGGTCTTTCCACAATAAAACAAAAAATCAAGTGTGTTGAGAATTTCCCAATAGAGAACTATGCATGGAGCCATATCCTAGAGGAGAATTTCACCTAGTCGAGGGCTTCCTCCCTGAGGAGGTAATATTTTCAATGAAGATGAAAAGATGAGTTAAAGTCAGCCAGAAAAAGTAGAGAGGAAAAGCATGGATGCCCTCCCCCTCTGAGGTCCGGAGCCCCAGTCCTCCTCAGCACTGGAGTTATGGGAAGCCAGAACCAGAATACCAGCAAAGGCCTTGTCCTTGTCTCCCAGGCTGCTTGCCTGCAGGCTGGCTCCCAGGGGCCCTCAGTCCCTCCCTCGGAAACAGCCAACGGCACAGAATCCAGGGAGGCAGCTATTGGCAGCCAGTGAGACCCAGTGCTCACAGCTGAAGCCCCTGTGCAGAGGAGGAGTAGCGGGGTCATCTCTCTGCTTTCCCTCTTTGGGCCTAACTTGATGAAAAATACTTGGACCCAGAATCAGCAAAGTGCTGAATGCACAGATAGCTTCTGCTGCCCTCCTTTCTTGAAGATGTACGATTAAGCAGATATGTCTGTTTTGTGAGTTTTTCCAGCAGCATTGAAGTGGCCTCCTGGCTGCCAGATGCCTCTGCTTCAAGCTCCCAGTGACTGATTTTCTGCCAGAGGTGAGGGCAGGAGTGGGGCAGCCAGCAGTGTGGAGACTATTGGAGCAAATTTTACCCTTGGAATAGCGCTCACTGTGTAGGCAGCTCCTTTATGAGACACACATAGAGTGGTCATCAGCATTGGGGGTGGTTGTTGTATTTTACACCCACAGCATTTTAGTATTTCTCTTGAAAGTGGTTGGGTGGAGGGTGAAAAACATCCTTTTTTGAAGCATAACAAATGCAAAGAAAAGTGCACACATTCTGCATGTATGGCCTGGTGATTTTCACAAAGTGGGTGCACATCCAGCACCCAGATCAAGATAACATCCCAGAAACCCTCCCCCTGCCCCCCCACCATACCCTGTTTCTAGTTTTATGAATTTTTGTAGCTGTGGCTTTGTTCACTCAATTTTCTGTTTGTGAAATTCAGTCATGTTCCTTGTTGTTCTAGTTTATTCTCATTTGATAAAGTTTTATATGAATATATAATCATTATTTGTCTATTTACCTGTTGATGAGCATTTAGGTTGTTTTCCATCTGGGCTCTTAGGAATAGTGCTTCTGTGAACATTGATTTTTTAAAAAGAAGTATCATTCGTTTCTGTTGGTTGTGTTGGGTCTTCATTGCTGCTGGCAGTCTTGCAGCGAGTGCATGCTACTCTGCAGTTACAGTGTGTGGGCTCCCCAGCGAGGTGGATTCTCTTGGTGTGGAGCACGGGCTCTAGGGCACACTGGCTTCAGGAGGTGTAGCTCGCAGGTTCTAGAGCACAGGCTGTTACTTGTGGCACACAGACTCACTTGCCCTGCAGCATGTGAGACCTTCCTGGACCAGGGATCAAACCCGTATCTCTTGCATTTCAAGGTGGATTCTTAACCACTGGACCAGCAGTGGTTGCATATGTCTTTTGATGAACATATGCAACTTTTGGGGGGAGAATATTATACTTGTATTGCATGCATGCTAAGTCGCTTCAGTCATGTCCATCTCTTTGCGACCCTGTGGACTATAGCCCACCAGGCTCCTCTGTCCTTGGGATTCTCCAGGCAAGAATACTGGAGTGGGTTGCTATGCCCTCCTCCAGGTGATCTTCCCAACCCAGGGATCAAACCCGCTTCTCTTATGCCTCCTGAGTTGGCAGGGGGGTTCTTTACCATTTGTGCCACGTGGGAAGCCCAATTATATATATTTCAAGTGTACAACATGTGCTGTGAGATACATAATTAGTTGTCTGTTGTTCCACAGTAAATTTTCCCCAAACCTAGGAGCTCACAACAAAAATAAACATGTATTACTTCTCGAAGTTAAATGAATGAGAAATTTGGGAGCAGCTTGGAAAGACAGTTCAGGCTCAGGATCTCTTAGGAGGTTGGAATCATCTGCAGGCTGTACCTAGTCCAGTAGGAGTGCTTTCAAGGTAGCTCACCCCTATCACTGGCAGGTTGATCCTGATTGTTGGTGAGCAGCCCGACTTCCTTTGCATGTGGACTTTTCTCCACATTGTCTCGGGGTCCTCATGACATGCTGGCTGGCGTCCCCCAGAGTGAGCAGTCAGAGAGAGAGAGCCATGTAGAAGCAATATCCTTTTTCTAATTTAGCCTTGGAAGTCACATAGAACCCCTTCGATTGTATTCCTTACAAGTGAGCCAGTAAGTCCAGCCCATACTCACGACTCCATTTAGAATGGGGAAGAGGCAAAGATTTCGTGGACATATTTTTTAAACCAGTAGCCCTTTAATATTTTAAAGCTTGGAATTTACCCAAACTGGGAATCTAAAAATAAGTTTACAGACATTCATAAAAGAATCTAAAAGAAATATATTCAATTCAGCCTCTCCTCTTTTATTCATTTAAAATTCTGTGAATATTTATAGGGCAGTTTTCGAGGTATTTCCTGAAAATAAGATGGCATAATAGAAAGTACAAAGGCTTCAGAGCCAGACATACCCAAGTTTGAATCCTGGGTTCACTACTTACTAATTATGGGTATTTGGGCAAGCAACCTCTTAGATTCTCAGATTCCTTCAACTTTAAAATAGGGAAAATCAATACAGCCTATCTCATAGTGTTCTGGAAGAAATTAAATGAGATAATGTGTATAAAGTGCCCATATAGTGGTAGATCCCTTCCATTTGTTCATTTATTTTAAAAAGTAGTAACCATATATATTAACTGTTTAGAAGGAGCTATGATGAACCCTGTGAGAGACAAAAGTATATATTCTTCTACAAGTATATATTCTCATAGGGCCCTTGACAGGCAGAAAAACTGTAATACTACTGAGCAAATATTTAGTGTCTGGAACAAATATAGATACAATTTATTTACAACTAAATAGGGATTAAGTTTGGATATATGGAAATGGAAAAAATTTTGAGGGGCAAGGAGAAGACCAGAAGTATTACAGATTAGGAGTAATCACTTGAGTAAAGATAGAGCTAGAAAACCAGGGGGCCTGAAGTGAGAACAAGAAAGGACTTCATTACTGATACGGCTTGAATCCAGGATAGGAAAGGAAGTTGTGGAAATAGGAATTGGAAAGATAATTACCCTAACAGAGTACCTGGAAAGGATTGAGAGAGCTCCATTCAGCTTTACATTAAAGCTGAAACATTAAAGCCAGTGACTTTTTTTTTTTTTTAATTGGAGTAAAGTTGCTTTACAATGTTGTATCCGTTTCTACTCTACAGCAGAGTGAATCAGCTATATGCGTACATATACCTCTTCTATTTTGGATATCCTTCCCCATTTAGATTACCACAGAGCATTAGGCAGATTCCCTATGTTATATAGTAGGTACTCATTAGTTACCTGTTTTATACATACTAGTGTATATATGTCAATCCCAGTCTCCAAATTCATCCCACTCTCCCCTTCCCCGTTTAGTATCTCTACATTTGTTCTCTACATCCTTTCTCTATTTCTGCCTTGCAAATAGATTCATCTGTACCATTTTTCTGGATTCCATGTGTATGCCTTTAATGTAAAATATGTGTTTTTCTCTTTCTGGTTTACTTCACTCTGTATGACAGACTCTAGGTCCATAAAGTCAGAGACTTTTAAACCAGCTTTCAGGGTTGGCTACAAAAGTTAGGCAGTCCTAGCTACTGAAGGGTCTACTTGCCATGCTTTTCTTGGCCAGCTTCTGTAGAATCTTTGTGTCTCACTTTGTAAACAGAACTTTCTAAAACTGATCATTAAAGAACACTTCTCACTCTAAACCCAAGAAACTCAGTTTTTTATTTGGTATTCCCATTTTGGAGGCTGCATCAACAGGGAAATTGTTTTTATATGCCCTTAGCTCACTATAAATGTACTTGTCAAGACTTGGCCAATTGGAATGGCCAGTTTATGCACTTAACTCATCTTTGTGTTTGACTTCCTCTTCCAGATAATAAGCTGTCCTCTCCACTTATTCCTCCTCAAGAAGGATGATCTGTTTAGCAACTTTCACTTTTGTTACATTCTCCAGTCCCAGACAGTGATGATATTTATACATAAGACAGGGACATTTCTATGCTATGATGGCAGCTTGAAGGAAGTTGGAACTGGCAACCTTTCATTTCGAAGCCAAAGAAAAATAAACATGAATGTTTCAGTCTTGCTGAGAATGGAGGCTAGAGAGAGAAGCAGAAAGCCTTCTTCTGGACCTGCCATTCACTATATGGTATCCAAAGTCTTTATGTGCACAACTTATATCTTAGCTAACATACCCTCTTATTTTGATGACACTTGTATGTTTCATCAAAATAGACATGGAAAAAAAGGTAGGGATTCCCTGATGGCTCAGATGGTAAAGAATCTGCCTGCCATGCAGGAGACCCAGGTTCAGTCCCTGGGTCGGGAAGATCCCCTGGAGAAGGGAATGGCTACTCACTCCAGAATTCGTGCATGGAGAAGTCCATAAACAGAGGAGCATGGCGGGCTGTAGTCCATGGGATCACAAAGAGTCAGGCACAAGTGAGTAACTAATACTTCCATCAAAATAGGCATGATTGTGACCAGTTCTGGTGATTTTGTGGTAAAAATTGGATGCTTCATTTTATCACCCTCTTTGTTTACTCTAAACAGATTCTTGAACATGAAGAGAAAAGATGAGTTCTTGGCTTGGGATAGAATTCCCAGCCAAGCTTGGGCTGGACCTTCCCAAATAGCCACATAGGTGTTTTTACTCCATTAGGATAACACTTGGCGTCAAGGGAACTGTTCTGTGCACGGGTTCTCAGGGTATTCTCTTCCTCTGCTTTCTTCACAGGTGGGAAATTGGCAAGTGGAGTCCTTGCAGTCTCACCTGTGGGGTTGGGCTGCAGACCAGAGATGTCTTCTGCTCCCACCTGCTTTCCAGAGAGATAAATGAAACAGTAATCCTGGCTGATGAGCTGTGTCGCCAGCCCAAGCCCACCACGGTGCAAGCTTGTAACCGCTTCCACTGCCCCCCGGCCTGGTACCCTGCACAGTGGCAGCCGGTGAGTTCTGAGGTTAACACAGTATTGGAGCTTGTGTTTGCAGCAGGGGCTCAGGGTTGTCCCATTAAAGGAATGTTCAAGATCTGCTCAGGCGTGTCCGACTCTGCGACCTTGTGGACTGTAGCCCACCAGGCTCCTCTGTCCATGGAATTCTCCAGGCAAGAAACTGGCGTGGGTAGCCTTTCCCTTCTCCAGGGGATCTTCCCAACCCAGGGACTGAACCCTTGCCTTCTGCATCCCCTACATTGGCAGGGGGATTCTTTACCTCTTGAGCCACTGGGGCTTCCCAGTCCTCCTACTATCTTATTCAAATTCAGATCTTTTCATTACAAATAGCAAGCTCTTTCTATTCTACCACCCACAGTGATCTCCAAAAGCAACTCAAATGACCCATCTCTTAACCTGAAGATATTCCTGACAAACTTTCCACTGAGCTAAGGAAAAATTTTTTAAATAAGGACTGTGTGGTGGGTAAATTTCCTTAAAGCTAACTTTTCTGATTGTGTGCTCTTTCTAGTTTTTTTTGTTTTTTTTTTTTCTGTTTAAAATGCTAAGAGATAAAGATACCAGGAGATGGGTTTTCTTTTCTTTTTTTTTAAACATAATTCCTTAGCAAAATAAGATGTTAGAAATCAAGTCAATTCCAGACTTTTAAAATTTTCCTGATCCATGGGGAACTGTCATTTTAAAGCAAGGGTTTGCAAACTGCTGCCCAAAACTAAACCCAGTTCATGACCAATTATTGTAAATACAGTTTTTGTGGAATACAGCCATACTCTTGCACTATATGGGCATAACTGCTTGGTTGTGACAGAAACTATATGGTCCCCAAAAGCTAAAACATTTACTCTACCTCTTTACAGAACAGATGGCTGACCCCACTCTAAAGCATTTATTATAAAAATAAAAACACAATTATTTTATCCTCATATCCTATCTAAAATTAATATATATTTATCAAACTAAAGTTAAGTAACTTTTTTTGCATGCCTTTAAAAAACATAGGATTTTTTTTTTTTTAAAGAAAACACTTTTAATCTTATAGTGCAGTACCTTGAAAAGTACAGTAGTACAATACAACAACTGGTATACAGGGGCCAGCATCAGGTGAACAGGCAAGAAGAGTTACTGACAGAGGAGGGAGAGAAGATAGAAGACAGGAGAGCTGAAGGGTCGTCAGCAATAGGAGATGGAAGGCAAACTGCAATTTCACTCACATCTTATGAAAAGACACAAGATTTTAGATGATTACTTGGATAAAATCTTACTGTGCAATTGCCTTCCTATTAGAATATCCCTCATAGTTTTAAAGTGACAAAAAAAAAAAAAGGTCATAGAAAATAAGCCTGAAAGGTGAGGGAGACATACATCCCAGCTTTACTGAAACAGTTTATACTCTCAGAAGTGACCCAATTAGAATGATAAGTGATGCAGTCAGTCATCAGACTGAGAAGGAGAGAGAAGGCAGTCTTGGTGATGAGACAAGGAGCTGCCATTTCCATGCATCCTCTGTGCTTCTTCAAACCAGTGGACAGGACCCCTTCCTTCCTCCTTCCCTTTCCTGGTTCAGTCCCCAAAGAATCAAATAGTAATAAGTGAGCAAAAGACTAGGTGTAAAGCATCTAGAAGCAGGCATGGACGCTATACTGTCCATGTCTGCTTGGATAAATATCCTTTTAGAACCTAAATGTGTATGATTAAGTTCATAACTTCCATGCTACTGTGTCATGTGGAAATCAAGAGAATATTATGTACTTTGAACACTTTGTATACCATTGTTCTGTTAAGAAATATATATTATTATACACCTAATTGAAGTTAATCCTCATAACAGGCCAGTGATAAGTAGATTTTATTGTCTTCATTTTAGTTTTGAGGAAACTGAGGCTCACAGAACTAGCAAACTTAGGAGTGGACATCAACCCAGTTTTATATGATCCTTCCCATGGTACCCCATTGTTGGAAACAACTGTGGCAGAAAAGGCCCTCAAGGGATTACATAGAAGCCCCCTTGTTTTATGGATGATGTAACTGAGACCAACATACAGTTTTGCCCAAAATCACAAAGCCTAATCCAGAACAATGCTAAAACTGAAACTCCAGTACTTTGACCACCTCATGCAGAGAGTTGACTCATTGGAAAAAGCCCTGATGCTGGGAGGGGTTGGGGGCAGTAGGAGAAGGGGACGACAGAGGATGCGATGGTTGGATGGCATCACCAACTCGATGGACATGGGTTTGAGTAAACTCCGGGAGTTGGTGATGGGCAGGGAGGCCTGGTGTGCTGCGATTCATGGGGTTGCAAAGAGTCAGACACAACTGAGTGACTGAACTGAACTGAACTGAATCCAGAACCCAGGTCTCCTGATTTCTGGTGCATTTATGCTTTTACCTTTAACTATACTCCGGCTCCATACTGCACCACTAACTTATGGCCACACTAAGAAAAGATGAGGAATCAGCCTAGATCAACCTCTACTGTTGAAACTAATTCCCTGTATTTTTAGTTTGTGTTGCCATTAATTACCTAATAAGTTCTGGGTAAAATGTTTATTGAATAATAAAATGAATGAACAGATCAATAGTACCACTCACAAACCCTGAAATGTTTTTTACTTTATATCCCACTGATGGGTTTGTTTCATGATTGTAGGTCATAATATTGATGATGAAAGTCAGTGAGGCATCAGCCTTTTTCAGTAGTTGCACATGCTGCTGAGTAATGGCAGAGACGTATGCTGTTCTTTCAGTTTTTACAGCACATCCATATACATGGTCTTTTTTGTTCTATTGCCAACATTACCACCCCCATGCCCAGTGGTCCTATTGAATCAGTGGATTTCTAAAGAGTCAATTATTCTTCCATTGTCCATTGACCTTGGGCCAGTTAAGATATGTATTTATTTTGAAAACTTTCTATTTCATTTCATTAGGAAAAAGCCTTTGAGGAAAGTTGGATTTAAATTCATTTTTCAGATCAAGGAAGTAATAGTAAAGAACTCTTTGAAGTCTAGCCAATGAACCACTGACTATACTTTATCAGGACCTTTAAAAAGATCTTGTTTCAAACCCAATACATAATCATTGTGAAAAATATTCAATCATAATGAATAAAGAGCATAGAAAGTGAAAACCACTAGGGATTCTATCTTCCACAGGAAAATTCCTGTTAAACACTTGGTACACAGGAATCCTTGGGCACTTTTAGGAACCTCTCTGAACCTAGAGAAAACAATAGGCTATTCTTCTTATATTTCCTAGGATCTTACATCTTTAGTTTTTTAGGCAAAATCAGCTACCACTGACCACTTATTAGGAGAAAGATAGTCATTGTTTAGGCTTATGAAATAAGTCAGGAATAATTTAAGCATCTTGAGTCTAATTAGCAGTTGTCCTCGGACACCACTTGGTTGAGAGATCAGCTATTGACTGTCCATTTGTCAACCCTTGCTGGGACAGGGGGCCTGTAGTGCACACAAATATCTTTTCTATTCAGCTGCCTGGATGCACCAGGAGAGAGGGCTGAGGTCTTTCATCCTTCAACAGCCAATATACAGTTTTTTTCTTATGAAAGAAAAGGAAAGGGTAGATCCAATGCTTCATTTAAAGGAAGACAGGTAACATCCTGATGAACACTGGCCTGTCTGAGGGGAGAAAGTCCCCCTCCTTGCTCTTTGAATATTGGGCTACCACTGACCTCATGCATATTGCATATGCTTTTCTTTCTGGGGGAAGAAAACATAAATTATGTTAAGTTGTCATTTACCAACTAGGAATGCAACCTCCTTTGTCCTTCATAGAGCATTTACTAACAAGTAATATGTAGCCAATATTTACACATTCTACAGGTCTGAGAAGTCCAAGGATTTATGTTAACATTTTAGTTTAGAAATAGTTACGCCAAAATGAAGCACAAATCTAATTCCTAATTCTAGCTTTGGTTTTTAGGGTGCCATCTTTATTTCATTTCTACCTCTTAGTCCCTACTGCATCTCTTGGTTTTCATCTTTGGTCTTGTGTGAAGGACTCAATATTTATCAATTTAGCTATAATGGCTCGTTGAGGTTTTATGGTTGACTTAGGCCCCAGTCCATGAGGTCGCAGAGAGTCCAACATGACTGAGCTTCTAACACTTTCACTTTTGAAACACTTACACATTTCGTGCATTAGTCTCCTGAATCCTTTATAATTTATTAAACATGCACCCACATGCATTAAACATGCACTCCTGCTTCTCTTCCTCCTCCTCCTCATCTTTCATGTTGACTATATATATTACTTCTAATTTTTTTTATTGAAGTATAGTTAATTTACAATGCTGCATTAGTTTCTGATATACAGCAAAATGGTTCGGTTTTATATTTTTTTTTCAGATTCTTTTTCATTATATGTTATTACAAGGTAGTCCCCTGTGCTATACCATAGGTCCTTGTGCATGCATCTGCTAATCTCAAAGTCCTAGTTTATCTCTCCTCTAAACCCTGCTGTCTACTTCAGTAACCATAAATTTGTTTTCTATGTCTGAGGCTATTTCTCAGTTTTGTAAATAAGTTCATTTGTATCACTTTTTGGATTCCATATATTAGTGATATCATATGGAGAAGGCAATGGCACCCCACTCCAGTACTCTTGCCTGAAAAATCCCATGAATGGAGGAGCCTGGTAGGCTACAGTCCATGCGGTCACTACGAGTCAGACACGACTAAGCAACTTCACTTTCACTTTTCAGTTTCACGCATTGGAGAAGGAAATGGCAACCCACTCCAGTGTTCTTGCCTGGAGAATCCCAGGGATGGGGGAGCCTGGTGGGCTGCCGTCTATGGGGTCGCACAGAGTCGGACACGACTGAAGTGACGCAGCAGCAGCAGTGATATCACATGATATTTATCTTTGACTTTCTTCACTTAATATGATAACCTCTAAGTCCATCTATGTATATTAATTACTTTTTATGTATCTCATGAGAGATCATTTTCACATGTATGNGCCATGAAGTGATG